ATCATTGTAGAGTTAAGTTTCAGAAGATCGGTTCAGAAAATACTTGGTAGAGATGGGCAGCAAGTCAGCCAACCTGAGCCTTACCCATGGAGTTCACAGTCTCTTGGGAGAGACTGTTAGTACCACAAAATCAGGCTTGTATAAGAGATCATCCCACTGTCAAATCTCTGTTGAGAGCACATTGGAGAATCCAGTAACATGATTACCTTAGATGGCTCTTAAGAGATGCCAGAAAATATTAGATCAGTGTTTGCACTTGCAGTGTTGCCTGTGGCCTTCAGCAAATGCTCAAGGTAACACTGCAGTTGTCAAGCTGTTGGAGATGCATGTTCCCGTTGGTTCTGATGAACAGGAAAATAACTCTTTAGTCTTGGGTGATGAGAATGAGAATCCCTTTACAAACCCAAAAGATCACGACTAACTAATTAAAGGGAAATCTAGCCTAGAATACTCTGCATACTTGGCAAAATCAGTTGATTTAAGGGTAGGTTATATAATTTTTATAGTACTTTCATACAGGAATACATCTTAAATCACAAATGATTTGTCAGAATGCTTTGTAATCATTGCTTTGTAGAACAAGGCAAAAAGTTGCTAATCTGGAAAATTAACCATACATATAGAAGTTTGACAGTTACATATTAATTTTTTATGTTAATTTGCCCAAACTTACCTATCACTCAGAGTCATATGACTAGTATTTATGGCACTTCCTTTTCTGCTTGCCAGTCTTCCAGTATCTCTACCTTGTAAAAAAAAACAATTGGAGTTCAGCTAAAAGGTCCACTCTATAGAACAAGCTACCATCACATAGGATCTCCCAGTTCTTCAACCTGGAACCTGTGTATTTGGCTCCAAAAGGCAAACCAGGGACTACCACTGGTTTGGTAGAAGCCACAGGAGATGCTGGCTAAATGAGGATCTCTCATTTTGTAACTAGCTCACACACACTTAAAAATAAATGGGTCATGACATCTGTGTGTTTTGTTTGTTTTTCTTACCTAAAAATCTAACTGAGATCATCTAACCCTCACTGAACATCATGGTAAGACCATATATCAATTAGAGTAAATCAGGCCCTTTTGCCACCTAAAATACCAAAAAAATTCTTAAATCTTCATGTAATTTGCTTTCCTGGGGCAGATGGACAACATTTTTAATGAATAAAACATTAAGAACTTACAGGGAAAAGCTGTTTCTAATAATGTCATTCAAGTAAATGGAACAGCAATTGTCAAAGAACTACAGATGTTTCTGCATCAAAAGTATTTTGCTTCTGGGTAGCATTTTTATTGAAAACAAATCCCTCTAAAGACAATGGTTTATTCCATAAATGACTAAATGGATTTTCATGAGATTAGGTACACTCTCTTCTGCATTGAACTGCAAGCCCCAAGGACACAAGGACCCTGTTTTATCCACCACTGTGTCCCCAGCTCTTTTGTACTTGGCACATTAGTAGACATTAAGTTAAATTTTTGATGGTTAAATAGACCAAAGAGAATTTTAAAGGGGAAAGAAGCTGTTCGAATTTTATATTGCTCCACATGGAATATTGGGGTACTCCGATTTCCCCGAAACAAGCAGCCAGCAGCTATCTCAGAAATGTGTCACTTTTACTGGTTATAATTCTTAAAAAGCTTGTTTTCCTAAGATACGGGATGCATGCCAGTATACAAACTATTGTAACTACTTCCCTTTTTGCTTTTAGAGGGGGAAAAAATAGCTTAATGACAGTGTAGAATCATGTAGTAAATGTAATTCATTTTTTGAAAGATTCAGCTACATCCTCTTTTATTTGTTTCATTTTAAATGATCTATTTGCAAACATGCCATCACTCCCTTGATGTTTACCTCATCATTACACATTTTTAGCAGGCTTTATTGTCACCTGAGATTTCTTTTTCTATGACAGGCCAGAGTCTAGATGAAGAAACATGTGTTAGAAGCACCTTATACACAGATAGGGACACTTGGTCATTCAGCACATGTTCAGCTTAGGCAGGCACCAGGGTCTGGCTGCTTACCTGCTTTCATTCACACCTGCCTGTTGGGGTGGCCTGAGCTGAACTTCTAGAATGAGTCCAACCTGATCATTTACTGTCTCTGAAAGAAATTATGCTAATGGAAGAAAATAGCCAGTTGGCATCACTTGCTGAGCCAAGTAACATCTTAATAAAAAAAAAATTCAGTCTAGGACTTAGTTTTCATAAACCATCTAGATAAAAGCATCTCTTTTAGAGAAGACCCACTATTTGCCAGCACCACAGAATTTATTATCTTCTCTCTTTCTCTATGAGATTATGTGGAGTAAGCATCTTAAAACCTCAAATGTCAGTGGATAAACCTCTCTAGATCTGTGAAGAGTGGGATCTTGCTTCTCTCCATCTGAATTCTTGATTTGGCCATAGATATCAAGGTGAGGCATCCCCCAAGCAACACAGCCCCTTCTAGACATACACATGCATCTGCTTACACATTGACCCAGGAGATCAAGGGGAGTCTCAGTACTGGAATTGTAAGCAGCATTTTTTGTTGTTGTTGTTGCCTGCAAAGGCAAGGATGACTGGTAATTTATTCCAGGTATAAAGTAAGTCTTAACGGTTTACCATTCCCACTCTCCTTCTTGGCTGCTCTGCATTTTCAGCCCTAGTTTCCATCTATCTCTTAAGAGTCTGATTGTAGAGTTAAAAGTATAATCAGTGATTAGGAAGCTCTCTTGCCTCATAGCATCTATTTATTTACCTTCTGTGATTGCTGGTGAAGGTAGAAATTTCCAAAGTCAGAGCCTTTTTTTTTTGAAAAGATGAATAGTGTAGTTCATCTGCAGTCTGGGATTTGGCCTCAGTCCAGCTCCCATCATACCCCTTTGCCTTAAATGGAAGTTCCTTGTTCAGGAAAGGGGGCAGGGATGGAGTCAGAAGATAGAGAAAGGGCCTCTGTGAATGATTGGGCCAAGGCTTGCTGATATTCTCACCAGACACCTAACATTTTTGTTCCTAACTCCTCATACCCATAGTCCAGTTGTCATTCAGAAGTGAGTTGGCATTCCAACCCATCCCTCCGGAGTGGTTCGTACCAGGGAAAGAAGAAAGGAGTGCCAGGCAGCAGCCCAGACAGCTCACCCAAGAGGAGTTTCAGTTGGGCTTTTTGTTTTGTTTTGTTTTGTTTTTTGGCAGAGAAGTGTTGAGAGACACTACTGCTTCCACCCTGTCATTAGTGGGTGGGTAATCGTGAAATAAAATAAGAGATGAATTAGGATAATGAGAGGCACAGGAGAAAGGAGTAAATTTTCCACAAGTAATATTTTTCTCTACATGGTTATTTAACTTTGAAACAGAACTTGAAAGTAGTAATCATGGTTCTATAGTAGACAAAGGACAGAATGTGGGAACCAGACAGGAAGGTGTGATTGCCTTTATTACATTATCTAGAAATGGAAAAATCCACAACTTTTGGGAATACACTGCTATTTCCATTGCAGGAAAGCAATGAAAAGGAAAAGTCACTGGTGTGCTATTGTGCTGTTTGTAGAGTTTTTTTTTTTTTTTTTTTTTAACTCTAATGAGTATATATCCTTTAGAATAGCCTCTACATCTTCTGCTTTTGTGTTTGCCTCACAGAAAAGCAGATGTGTGGTCACATGGTGTGGTCATAGCTCACTGCAGCCTTCTGTGTTTGCCTCACAGAAAAGCAGAAGATGTAGATGCTATTTTAAAGGATATGTATTCATTAGAGTTAAAAAATATATAGATCTATAGTAGATAAGTATATTATATAGCGTATAATATGTAGTACAGTAATATATACTTATATATTACTATATATATACTGTATATCTACATATATAATATATAGTTATATATTATATTACTATGTATAAGATTATATTACTATGTATAATACTATACATTACTATGTATAGTAATAGTGTATATAATGTGTAGTACCATATATAGTAATATAGTGTATATATTACTATACATTATATAATATGTAACATTACATATACAGTACTGTATAGTAATGATTTACTATACAGTACTGTATATGTAATGTTACATATTATATAATGTATAGTAATATGTGTTATATGTATAGTAATATGTATTATAATATATAATACTAAAAGTATTACTATACATACAGTAATATAGTAATATATACACATCTATATATAGTGAAACATAGATATATAGTAAAACAGTATCCAATGGAATTGAGTAAAGGCACAGAAAAACCTTTAAATAGGGTGGACAAATATTTTTAGCTTTCTCCTAACAGCCATCTTCACTGATGTATCCCAAAAATAAACAAATGAGGCCTATTTCTATTCATTTGTTGATGCAACCAAGATGTAATAAGCAACTACAAAGTCCAGACACTTAGGCAGTGGGGATACAGTGATGGACAAAACAGGCAACGTTACCTCCCCCCAGGGCTTATAGTCTAGAAGGGGAAACAGACACCAAACAAGTAACCGTACTCACCAGTTGTTACAAATGCTGTGAATAAAACTATGGTGTGAGCCGTGTAGGGGCAGCTTGTTTTCTACTGGGGGAACTGAATGTCTCTCTTAGGAGTTATAGTGGGAAGCTGTGAGACCATTATAAGTTGGGAAAGGGGAGGATGGCACAATCCTATTTACATTTGAAGATTATTTTGGTGTCAGTCCAGAAGTAGAATTGAAGAGGGCCCAAAACAAAAAGAAATGTGTCTGCTCTTAAGCATGAAAGTGAATTGAAAGATCCTTTGCTTCCTCAGATTAATTCTTTAAATGTTTTGATTACACTCTGGTTCAGAAGTAATAACTAGTACTTTTTTCTGCACTGTTTTTTACCATTGGATAATTTTACAAGGGTCTGAGTAAACTACTTTTGCCTAAAAGTGTTGTCTGAATTTTCTTATAATATGAACACTATTCCTATTTTTTAAATACATTTTGCCATCCACATCCACATATAATTGTGGTTTCATTTTATTTTTCTCTGTTTACTTAGCCCCCACAGAACCTTTATTGTGTAAGTTCGCGGATGGAGGACAGAAAAAGAGACAGAACCCAAACAAATACATCCCTAATGGAAGACCATGGCATAGAGAAGGAGAGGTGAGACTTGTAAGTCCTTTCTTGAAACTTTAGTAGGGGGCGTGTGTGATCTTGAATGCTCACATGAAAAGTAACATAAAAGGCATCTTATCTTGGCTACCACATTTCTGAAATGGGTGCCAGGATTAAATCTTCCTGTTGGTACATTATAATTCAAGTGATGTCAAATTAAAATTCTTCTCATTATACATGGGGATAACAGAGCCGTTCTCCAGATGGACAGATAGGTGGTGGAAACAGCTGTGTTTACCAGCTAGCTACACATGAAGTAAAAGAGCATTCTAAATTGCCATAAGAAAAACACGAGTGTTTTGGGTTTGTTTTTGTTTTTTTTTTTGTTTTTTTTCAGAAACAGGGTCTCTGTAGGCTGGGCACAGTGGCTCATGCCTGTAATCCTAGCACTTTTGGAGGCTGAGATGAGCAGATCACCTGAGGTCAGGAGTTCGAGACCAACTGGCCAACGTGGTGAAACTGCATCTCTATTAAAAATACAAAAATCTGCCCTGCATCATGGCTCATGCCTGTAATCCCAGCTACCTGGGAAGCTGAGGCAAGAGAATTGCTGGAACCATTTAAGGCAAAGGAGTGTGATGGGAGCTGGACTGAGGCCAAATCCCAGGCTGCAGAAGATGAACTACTATAATTATTTATTTATAAATAGTGTATTTATCATTGAGTTGGGTTTTTTTAACCTCTCTTTTGAATATTTTTTTTTTTTTTTTTTTTTTTTTTTTTTTTTGGAAACCCTCAATTACCTAATAAAATGTTGGACCTCCATTTCCCTGTATTGACTTTCCATGAATTATTATTTTAAAAACAATAATATTAATCCAAGAATGTCTAGGGAAAATGTTCTAGAATCTACACTGTCCAGTGACAGCTGCCAGCCACAAGTGACTCTCTGAGCACTTGAAACGTAGCTAGTATGCTAGAGAGATTGATTTTTCATGTAGATTTAAATAGTTGGACGTGGCTTATGACTATCACATGGGTCAGGGCAAGTCTAGAGATTAATTCTCATATTTACACTTATTTTGACTAACATAAACTCCCAGTTTTATTAAATCCTTCTTAAGAACAAATCTGCACCCCTCCCCCAACATTTTTTTAAAGAGACAAGGGTCTCTTTCTGTTGCCCAGGTTAGAGTGCAGTGATTTAATCATAGCTAACTGCAGCCTTAAACTCCTGGGCTTCAAGGGATCCTCTCACCTCAGCCTCCCCAGCAGCTGGGACTACAGGTGCACACCACCACACCTGGCTAGAAATATAATTTTTAAATCATGCCTTTCTAGATGAATGTTTATATTTCTTTCTCTCTCCCATAGGCTGGAATGACACTTACTTATGACCCAACTACAGCTGCTCTACAGAACGGGTATGTCATTAAGATAAATGCATAATGGCTTGAGGGAAAATGTGAAGGTGGAAAATATCAGACATTTATTCCATGAATTATTCTATTTAAAGGATTACTTAATAAAGGCTTTTGTGTTTGTTCTAGATTTTATCCTTCACCATACAGTATTGCTACAAACCGAATGATCACTCAAACTTCTATTACACCCTATATTGCATCTCCTGTATCTGCCTACCAGGTTTGTACCCGTAGGATTCGTCAGCAGTATAACCACTTGCGGACCATGAATCTCTGCTACACTTTTATGTGTCTTAAAATTTTAAGCATTTATAATGAAATTTGAGTCAAATATTATGCAGCTTGGATACCCAATTTAGTATGAGCTGCTTTGTATTTGGCAGAGTGATTTACTTTTATGTATAGGAGAATGTAAAGCAAAGGAAGATGGTTGTCAGTGGTCAGTCCTTGGAATCATGGCATTTTGGCATTGGAGTGAACCCAAACACTTCCTTCACCAAAGGGCCCTGCTTTTGGACACCATGTGTTCCAAAAATTGAGACTTAAGATAATTGCCATTAGATATAATACAGAGTAGGTGCGTACCCTTGCTTTTGTCTATTCATCGGCAAGAACCGATAAAAGAAATAAACAAAGATGTGTCTCTAGTAAGTAACATTAAGCGTGCAATGCAGCTGACATTTAAGGCAAAAATATAAAAGCAAAAAGGACGTGACTTCCTGTTTAGGTTTTTGTGTAAGGAGGCTTTACCTTAAATTCCCAACTTGCAAACAAAAACTCATGAAGCTTACTTGTTATTATACTGATTTGATTTTAATGCAAAGGTAGGCTCCTGTCTGCCATGGACCCAGTGGTGTACATGCATTTCTCCTCCTGTGTCAGAGAACCTCTAACAGGGTTGCTGCCTGGGCCCAGATAGGAGTCTCATAATGGAGTTCAATTGCAAGACATGTGGGAGCAGAGTTCCCTTTCGTTGACTGTCGGGATCCTGTGTGACTAAATTTTTGTTGTATTCTTGATTTTAAAACAATTGAATTAGATGTTGTAGTCCTAATTTCTGGGGTTAGGGGACTACAATATGTAATCTAATAGTTGTGTTATTTTAACATTATAAGCCTCAGTTTCCTCATCTTTAAAATGGGGATAATAATAGTGTTTATCTCATAGGCTTGAGAGAATTATAAAAGCCAAATGAGACTGACTGTGAAAAGAGCCCAGCCGAGGACCTGGCATATCATTAGTACTCAGTTAACGTTAGCTATGACTGTTCTGATCATCATTAATACGCAGGATTAGGTAGTTGATAATGAGTATGTTAGTTATACTTTTAAATAATGAATTGGCCAAAATAAGTAATACCATAAAACTAATTCTGCCTAAAAACATAAAAATGGCTTTGAATAACAGAAATGATTAGATATACTAAGACTCAAGGTTGACAGGATCATTCACAGTCTCCTAGGCCTCTAGGCTCTTAGAGCCTCCCTTCCCTGAGATGTCACTCAGTTTCTTTTCTTTATTCTCTCTGGGTTCTTATGTTACTTTTTCTGGTGCTTCATTCTGCTGGGCATAGTATCTACTAATTTAATCTCTCTTTAGTTGTTTTGGATTTAAGATTCCTACCCTTTCCTTGCCTGTATAGTGAGATCTGCTCTAGTGTACTTCCCTAATAAATAATTCCTGTGTCTGGTATGAAAAGGTAGTCTTTCTTAACTGTCCGAACTTGGAAACCTCTGTCATTTATATCTTACTAAAAATAGGGGCAAGGGTAAGTTATTCTCAGGCAAATGAAAGATTGTAAATATTAATTTGAATTTATGTTGCTATAGATATTACAGCTATTAACACATTGCTTCAACACCTCTTTTTCCCTCTTTAATATAAAACCAGTGTGTATTTTGGCCACAGAATCATTTTGTATAATAAAAATTAGGAGATCAGTATCAGTAAAAATTTGATATAGCTAACTGGAAACAACATATTATTTCAAAGGCTTTATTTCCTCTCCTGGGAATTCTGTATTTTTCTGAGATACTTACAGAATATCACTGCATTGCCTGACACTCAGTGCCATAGCCTCTAAGACTGATTTTTAACCCCATAACTTTAGGGACCTAGAAGGATTAGTGGATGAGCTTTAAGTGATATGTAACTCCTGTTTGCAAAATGTTGCTTGTGTATGTGCAATTAAGTGGGGGAAATTTTATTTTTCTCTAATTAGGTTTTCAGAGGGCTCCATGACCCTAAAGAGGTTAAGAACCAATAGTGAAGAGTTTACAAAACATTATTATTCCCATTTTATAATTAGAAAATTGAGGAATAGAAATGGACAGCAGCTGATTTGCTGCTTAAGAAAAAAATTAGATTAGATGTCATAGCTCCCTAACCCCGTAATGCTATAAGCTATTAGATTATTAAGACCACTGAAGCATATTTTAAAAATGGGGGCATCTGGCCCAAATTAGGGTCTGTAGGGAGTTGTTTGCCTTTCCATCATTTATCCAGTGAAGGCCCTGCACTCATGTTGGAGTGGGCCTTTCTCCAGTAAACCACCATAAGCTTATGCAATTGAATTTGAGAAATTGGCAGCTGCAAGAAACCACCAATACCCCAATGGGGAAAGGCTACAGTCCAGATAACTGAAATGCTAACAAGGCAGAAGCACTTAACTTTGGTCTGCCTTAGGTGGCAAAGGAAACCAGAGAAAACAAGTATCGGGGCTCTGCTATCAAGGTAAATCACAATGCATTCTTCCCCCATGACTCTTCCCCATATCCTCTCTGTTGAACCTCTGAAGTTAACAATAGGGGATAAAATGCAGGAGGGCTTTGTTGTTAAGAATTAGAAATTTAAATTTACTATAAAATTACATCGACTCTGGAAAGCTCTAGTCATCAAGCAATGGGCTGATATGTTTTTCTCTTGAGTGGCAGACTACACATACTTTCTTTCCTGCCACAAAACCTGACTCTCATATCTTATTTCTCAATTAAGAGGGTCTACTGTGTGGATGCCCATTTGACTGTAGATGTCAAAATCTAGTTACTGAAGTTTAATTTCCTTAATCTGAATTTCAGATTTTTATTTTCTGCACTAACTAGAAATCATTGACCACCATACAAGATTTCTAAAACTAATGTCCTAAGGTATCAAAGAGAAATTGAATTTGGTTATTTGTATTAAATAAGCACATACTTTAAGGGTTAGCTTCTTATAAGATGTGCTGGAATTAATCATCATTCATCTGTATTTCTAAAGCATCTAGTTTGTACCTTGATTGTTAATGCTTTTCACTACTCAGTTGTTTCTGTGTTTATCTCCCTTGCATAGATAGTAAATTTCTTGGGGGGTGGGGCCCATGTCTTTTTTGCCTTTTTCTCTTTGTTGCCTGATACTCAATAATTACTTCTTGAGTGGGCAAATAGAAATTGTTGCTAAATAATCATTTCATCCTATTCAGAGTGACCAGTTTGCCAAGAATTCTAACTGCCTTAATCTTTTTAATCATTGATAGCATTGTTTCCTTGTTTTCTTTCTGTAGATTTTTAACATGATTAAAAAGAGTTCTAAAGAAATAGGTAAGCTTTACAATGGAAATCAATATTTCTTTCAAAATCCTCCCCTTTCTAGGTGCAAAGTCCTTCTTGGATGCAACCCCAACCATATATTCTACAGCACCCCGTAAGTTTTTCATCTTAGTGACTTTGTGTTTTACAAGTAAGCTGTATGTATGTTGTCTCAGGGTTAAAACCATTTGCCAAGGGTGGTATAGGATCTGAGAAATTTTAAACATAGACTACAAGAATGTACAAATTTATTATAAAATCTTCTCATCCTTGTAAAACAACTTGGTAGAAGATACTGAATTTTCTATAAGAACTTAAAATACATCATATTTGAGGCAGTCACCATTTTCTTATTCATACCAGTCTATAGACATTATTCAATTGAGAGGCTAAATTTTTAATAGTACTTGGGATAAAACAGCTCTCATTTTTTACATTCTGTTTAACACAAATATAAAGTTCAAAACTGAGATGAAGAGTTTTATCAGTTTTACTTAGTCTTTCTATGGAGATTATAAATACTAAAATGGTAGCACATTATTTGGTAAATAACAAATGTGATTTCTTAGTCATGTGAGCATTGTATATGTTAAATTTTTTTTTAATTGAGTCATACTTTACCTTATTATATATTGTATTTTGTGTGTTTTTCAAAGACACATAAGATCTAGTTTGTTGAATTAAAAGAAGGGTTGGAAAATTGAAAAATCTGTATGGAGAACAAAGTTACAAAAAGGCTAAGGATGTACAACACAATGGCCTGTGTGCTCACATGAGAAGATCACAAATTTGGCTCTAAGCTTTCTAGTAGCTGATACAAAATGGGAATCCTGATAAGCAATACAGTTCACAATTTGTGTAAAATAAAAACAGATTTGGTTGCTTAGAAAAAGAACTCTATTCTTGGCCATATGTTCAGACAGGAATTTGTCTTGGGATACCTTTTGAAGTGGATACTGCAAAGTAAGACCCTGTGTATGAAATAGCAATTCAAGGAATACAGGTTCCAAATGAGAAATTGCTGAGATGACATTTAAGAAGCAGATAAAACATGTTTAGGTGATAACATAGAAGAGTTCTCTGATATATATATATATATATATATATGTCTTTTGTGTGATATATACATATACATATATATTTATACATGTACACGTACATATACACATACACACACACACACCTTCAAATCCACACTTACCTGTACATGTGTACCTAATATACATGCACTGATCCACACATGCCCATAGCAATCTATGTCCCTGATAGTCCATGCTATCCTATTCTGGAATGCTTGGAAATCAACCTACTTTGAATCTGAGGACTTCCTATTACAGATGGTGCCAGTGAATGAGAAAAAGGAGCAGGAAACTCCTTCACCATCTTCTGGGCTTCTGAGTCATTTCCGTGTTACCACATGCTTTTTGATGATGCATGTTAAAAAAGAAAAGAAAAAATTTTCTTTCGAAATGTGTGAACAACAAACATTATCTCTGACACACATCTATATCTTTTTTCTTTTTGGCAACATTTGAGAAAAAGACCACATATCTGAGCTTAACATCTTTGAGGAGGCATTAGGAATGTATGCAGAAGGTTGCTGTCTGAGGATTCATTACCTTTCCCCACCCAGCTTTAAATTGCCTGATTTAAATCAGAATTAAAGTGCCCGCATACCTAACTCTGTCCTAGATTGTCTAATTATCAATAAATAACATTGTATTTAAGGGATGCCAGGTACAGTGATACCAAAACATACATTAGTATTTGTAAAGCATGTCAGAATACTTGCATTCTCAGATATTGAGGTGATTGCAAAAGTCCAAAAATAAAGAATTCATTAAATTTTGGTTTATACAATCAATGTAATCATTTAAAAAATGATAATAATGATAGTTTTGCAGTAAGCTAGGTCAGTGCTTAGAATAGATACATAGTTAAGAGTAAAAACCCAGGATATGAAATTGTTGTTATGCTCTGATTGAACCTGTACAGAAACACACAGAGGCCACGATCTGGCAGTAGTGCCCTGACATAGCTAACAGTGGTTCTATTAGACTGGCTGAGTTAGAAGTGATTGTTGTTTTCCCTCCTATTTTCTTAAATATATTTAATCTTCTTTTTAATGACCAACATTTTTTCAAATGAAATGAAAGAACCTGGACTCAGATTATTAATCATATCTGAATTACCTTCCCTCCCAGGCACCAAAATGTAACTTAAAGTTCTGAGTAACACTGAGCGAATGAAGAAATGTGCTATCGATCCTAACAACCTGATCTTGAGCCAAACGACTATCTGGATAGAACATTGTTAAACAAAATACTATACTGATCATATTAAATATAATATATTGTTTTGTGACTAGAGAAAACATCAACTGCCTTTTTTTTTTTTTCCAGTTTTTTTTAAAAAAAGCATTTTGTAAGCCTAGGCAGGCAGTGATGATCAGTTTGGTTTTCCTGTGATAGCTCCTTCTGGGGGACTAGCTTGCTTCTAGTTATACAAAGTGAAGGGAAAGGGAGGGAGAGGAGGGACAGCGGCTTTAATACAGGGATTGTTGTGAAGTGAATGCTAAGATATTATTTCCCCTAATGCTCTTACAAAACTCTCAGGAAGAGCAATTTATAAGATTTTTAGGAAACTGTTTATGATGCCATTTGCAAGATTAAGGGAGGTTGTTTTTACTTCACATCCTTCAACAAACTAAGGCATTTCCTTTGCAACAGTAATTACAGGATCTTAACTTGTGCCTCAGTTTGTCTAATTTTGCTCTTGTCTCCAACTCCCCAGGGTGCCGTGCTAACTCCCTCAATGGAGCACACCATGTCACTACAGCCCGCATCGATGATTAGCCCTCTGGCCCAGCAGATGAGTCATCTGTCGCTAGGCAGCACTGGAACAGTAGGTGGCAAATTAATATATGTCTCTGTAAACAGAGGAGGGTAAATTAATGCAGCCTGGATCTTCGCTGTCAAATGACAGACTCTATGAAAACAGATTATGTCTAAGCCCCTGTCTTCCCCCCCCCCCCCACATAACCTTCCATAAAGCAAATACTCAGTGATTTCTTGATTAATTGATGAACTGAAAGTGTATTCTCTGGGTATCTCTGCTTAACAAGAATGTAGCACCTACACATGACCACATCTAGTCTTTTATGACTAGTGTCATTTATATCTAGTACCACTGTCCCTGTGGCAGCGTCATGAAGCAAAAGATGAAGGTAATACAAGGTGGCAAAAGCAGGAAATTATTTCTTGCTTATTTCTCCTTTTATGGAGTTTGGGAGCGTTGAATCATGATCTTAGTATTGAAATATTTCAACAAAGTCCAGAAGACCCCTCTGGGTAATGAGGCTGAGCTGGCACCCAATCAGCTTCCAGGTTTGGTACTTAGCATTTTTGCTGGTAAGATAGCTAAAGGATTTTAATTTAGCCTGTATGCTCTGGTGGCTTAAAAGAACAAAGGGTGGTCTATTTTCCCCTCATACACCCAAAACCAGCAGTAGTTTCTCGTGTAGGCTAAGCCAGGGTCCTACAAACCCAATGAGATTGACTAGAAATTTCTCCTGCCTTTGGGAAAGGATGACTGTCGGTGTCAGAAAAGCAGGGCTCTGCTGCCTAATGTGCAGTGACATGTTAAAGGTCTAATAGGTCATTTACCCCTGCAGGCTCCACCTGTAGAAACAATACCAGGTACTAGTTTAGGGAGCTGCTAGAAAATGAGATCCTTTGAGGAGAGATCTTCTAAAATCACACATTAGTGACACTGAATTCTTGAGGGTGACAAACTTTTTTATCTTCACCCATGATAAACTTTTTTATCTTTACTTTGTTAGTAAATCCAAAGAAGTGTGGGATTTTTAGTTCAACAGATTCAAAAAGGAGAAAATGGTTTGCCTTCCATATGACATATTTATATGCAATATTTGAGGTTCGAGGTAGCCCATTTAAATTTCTTCCTTGAGATTTACAAATACTTTATATACATCTCACAATTCCCCCAACTTCTCCACATTTTGCACGGTTTACCATTGCCCATTCTGACCTCCTCCTTTTTTCCAGTACATGCCTGCAACGTCAGCTATGCAAGGAGCCTACTTGCCGCAGTATGCACATATGCAGACGACAGCGGTCCCTGTTGAGGTTGGTAGAGACCGTCCAGTGACCATTCTGGCTATAAGTACTTTTAGAAATGGGTAAATTAAATAGAAAAGTCTACCAGACATCAAATATTTGCATCAACAATTGAGTTTAGCCAGATGTGTTGGCTTATATCTGTAATCCAACACTTTGGAAGGCTGAGGAGGGAGACTGCTTGTGGTCAGGAGTTAGAGACCAGCCAGAGCAACACAGCAAGATCCCGTCTCTACAAAAAAATAAATTTTTTAAAAAACTGATCGTATCAATGATAATAATGATGAAAAGAAATCAGTTGTAATTAAGATACTTAGGGGAAAAGAGGAAGCTGTTTCAAAACTGCTACAGGGATGAGGAAGAAACCATACCTGTTTTTACAAGACTGTTAGTATGGCTAGATAACTGTTCTTGTTATGGAAGATATGAAAGAAGTCTGGCATTTGAATTATGGTTAGAGAGAAAGCTTAGCATTTTCCTGCAGAGTATCCTTAAAATTTCAAGGAATTATGTCAATCCAGCTGATCTTACGCACTAGGCAGATCCCAAAGGTTCTGATTCCAGAAAAGGATCATAGGACTCTGGCCTGGTGGTGGTGGTGGTGGTGGTATTTTACTTCTGTTTGTGCAATTACTGACAACCACAATTACCAGAACTCACAATTCCTTATCTGCAATCTGAAACTCAAAGAAATAAAAATTATCTTTGTAACTGCTTCAGCATAAAACCTGACCTATGGCAAAACCCAACTTGAACTTAGATGATACAAAATCTTGATCCCACGTAACTGTGCTGCTTCATGCCTTCCAATGTAGAACTATTCATACGTTTGATTATGAGGTACAGCCCTAGACCCTATTGGAGGCTTCATACTATATGCAGCATATGCATACCATCTTTCAGATTATAAAATTTGAAAACACTGAATTACAAGTCACATCTGTCCCCGGGGGATAAGAGGGTAAGAGCTTTGTTTGATATGCTGTGGCTTGATAAGAATAGGAAAGTCATAAACATTTGGATGGGAGGTGCTTTGGGTCTACTAGACATGGCAGCTGCTTAGGGAAACGATTAACTTTGAAAGCTCTACATGATGTGAAGAAACTTACTTTAAAGAGTAACTGTTTTTAAGGCACTGCTGGACTCAGGCCTCAGTAGCAGAGCTGAGGTTTTTTCACTAACATGTCTCATCCATTCTGCTTTGTTTGTTGTAGGAGGCAAGTGGTCAACAGCAGGTGGCTGTCGAGACGTCTAATGACCATTCTCCATATACCTTTCAACCCAATAAGTAACTGTGAGGTATGAAGGAAAGGTCTCCACAACTGGGGGAGCTCAAATCAAGCACAATCTATAGGGTTTTTTTTTTTTTAAATCAAACTTGTGATTGGGTTAACTCAGATTTTATCATGCTGCTTTAATCATGGCCAAGGCATCCAGTTGAAAAATTTAAATCAATGATTTTATGAATTTAAAATTAATCATTTTGTCCAAAGAGAACACTTTATATTAAAGCCAAATGTATGATTACTCTCCCCACTAAAAAGAAAAAAATTAATATCTGTGACATCAGAGAACACCAGTTACCAAAATTGTCCTATAATACAAGTATCCTGTATTATATTGCTTTAATAATCATAAACTGGAGGACCTATAGCATAAGATGTTGCTTAATCTGGCATTACAAGTTTAGTAACATCTTGATTATGAATTTAGATAAATGTCAATATCCTTAGATTGAAAGATATTTCCAGCTCTCACTTGAACCTCGAATTTCAAAACTTTTCATTTTATAATGCAGTCTGTCATAAAATAGCTGTGAAGAACTTAGAATACCCTGGTTTCTGGATTGCCCTGATGATCATAGGTATTTCTGACTTCATAAAGTCACTGTTTACAGACCCACATGAATTTGGCTCTAAATTAGAGAAGAAGATATCTTGCAAGTCCTGGATGTGAGAGGCATTAAAAGTAACCATCAATTCTAGAGTTTGCATTTATCAGTCTACCACAAGTGATGAGCATAGCCTTTTTCAAACACATATCTCTTTAAAACAAGAAACAGATTACAGATCTGTGTAGTATATCATACCAAATCTATAAAAGCATTTGTCTTTTATTTTTCTCTTCCAGATGTACAGAAAGGTGTTCTTACATGAAGAAGGGTGTGAAGGCTGAACAATCATGGATTTTTCTGATCAATTGTGCTTTAGGAAATTATTGACAGTTTTGCACAGGTTCTTGAAAACGTTATTTATAATGAAATCAACTAAAACTATTTTTGCTATAAGTTCTATAAGGTGCATAAAACCCTTAAATTCATCTAGTAGCTGTTCCCCTGAACAGGTTTATTTTAGTAAAAAAACAAAAACAAAAAACAAAAACAAAAGATT